GGAGGGCCGAAAGCCGTCCATGAGTGGCTGCGTGTGACTAAAATTGCGCGAGAGACGAGGCAAGAGCGGGCGCGTCTCTGTGCGGTCGTTACTCTGTCGGGCCGGTGCTCCCGGGGCCGGTCTGCGCCATCGGTGGGAGATGGATTTAACGCATCAGCTGGAGCTGTTCCCCGGCTGCAGCGTGACTCTCCTCCTCTTCAGCCACGTGAAAAATGCCGCCGCTCTGAGGAAAAAAGCCGTGGAAGGATCCATTGAAGGAGCGTTAATAAACCCTGCAATGGTGAGTGAACGCTTCTGTCGGCCTGCTGGTACTGCGCTGACAGCTTTGAAGGCAGTGCGGGAATCCTTCTCTGTGGGGACTCTGTGAAGAGCGACCTGTGCTTGTAATCGCTGTCACACGAGTTACACGTACCTCACACTCTCCCTCCTTTGATTTCATTACCGTGTCGTACAGCGTAAGGGCTCATCTGTGTAAAAGAAGGAGCCAGGATTGGCCAAGACAAGTGTCGCCTTGATTCACTTCACATCCTACGTGGTGGAGCTATTTAAATCGACTTCCATCTGTAAAATGCAGCACTAACTGCTTAATGCTGTCAAAAATCTACTATTTGGAGCCTTTGTTCTCATTTAAACCCACAACTAGTTTCCGAATCTAGTCTTTTTTGTTAGCGTTGGCAAAGCAGTAGTTACAGAAGGGGGGAAAAAAAGGAATCTAATCTGACAATTTACTGACAGAAAATTTATTAATGTGATTCTTTTTTCAAAAGATTTCAGTAATCTGACTGAGAGAGTGTAATCTTTATTTTTACGTCAGGTATTACCCCACACAGGAAGTAATCACATTGACTTCGGAAGAGCAAGAACTGCTAAAATAACTAGCAGAATACTGTTTTGCTCGCTTCTACAATTGCAGACTTCGGCTATCAAAAATAAGTGGTCACGATTTTTTCAGAGTTCAAAACAGTATGTTAAATTTCTGTTTAACTTCTCCTGTTGTGTTTTACAGATTGTAGATCCTTTTCAAATTCTTGTGGCAGCCAACAAAGCAGTTCATCTACACAAGATAGGTAAAATGAAGACCAGAACTCTCTATGCAGAAATTATTTTCAGCCTTTCACCAAACAACAATGTAAGATTTACTGAACAAATGTCTTTTTTGCCAGAGAAGCTTGCCAGGATCCATGCAGCCAAACTAAATACATGTATTCTCTTAACTGTTTATCTGGCTACTAATAGAAGTTACTGTTATTTTTAATAACACTAATATGCTGTTATCTTCTGTAGCTTGTCAGAATTCCATTAATGTAAAACGTGTGTCAATTTATACTCTTGGTTTATTTGACCCAGTAACTGAAAAGGTTGCTTACATGTAGTGAGAAAGTGACTCATAATATTTTGATACTTCTCATTTTTTCTCAGATTTCAGATGCATTTAAAAAGTTTGGCATTTCAGACAGTGACACAGCAGTACTTGTTGTTCTGGTTGTGGACAGAGAAAAAACTGTAAATCTGGAAGATATAGCATCTCAGGTAGAAGGCCAACAGGTTTCTCTAGATGAACTCCCCCAACTAACAGACACTGCCAAAGTTAAGAAGGTATGTAGCCAAAAGAGATTACTAGCATAGAGAAAAGGGATAGTTTATTTAGTTATCTGATTAAATATCAATGGACATAATTAACTTAAGGTCTGTATTTCTTTAGCACAACTGGAGCCTTGTTTTAAGTGAACCATGATGATTTCTTTCTTAGAATTTTTTTACTTGAAAAAAGTTCTAGTTGTCACACCCTGACATCACAAATTTTAAGTCTTCAAAATTCTTAACGTTGTCAGGAAGTTGGAACATAAAAATAAATTCCAGATTGCTGCCTACTATTCAGGCACTTTTGCTTCCTGTTTTGTCAGGCAAATATCCATTTAATTAAAAATAAATTTTCAGTTCTGAACAGTTTCATAATCTTAAGCACATAAATAGTCCCAGCATGGGTGGTAAAATAAAAATGTGTTGATTAGCTGCTAGGAGCTGTGTTAGGGCATGTGTGCTCTTAACAGATTACCATATGCTAGATAGGTATCTTGAAGCATATGTTTTTCACTGGATAAAATTCAAACAACTTGAATCATCTTGATCATGTCCATCAAAGTAATGATGGGAGACATAAATAAAATTGGACAAATCATAGCGTATAACATAGAGCTAAAAGGGCTGCTCTCATTCAGTTTCTTAGCTTTCTTTATGTCTTGCAGTTTCAGAATTTGCTTGGTTCCTCAGTCCCAATTTTGTCCTGCAGTCACAACGAGATAGGAATTTCCAATGTAAAAAGTATGGGAGAGGGGGAAATACTTTCTTCGTTCTTTCAGATATGTGATCATTTTTTCTCTTCCTTACACAGCTTTTTTGTTTTTCTTGTTCTTTTTTTCTGCAGATGTACAAAGTTACTCCACAGGAAGAAAAAATCGGCACCTTATTGGATAGTATTGTTTGCAGAATGTCAACAAAAGATGTTTTATGAAAATGTGGAAATAAATTTTTTTTTAAGGAAAAAGAGGGCAATTCATTCTGCATTTTGGAGAAAGTGCTGTAGTACTGAGTAGTATGATAACACCTGAGCTTTAACCATAAATGAGTAAGCTTGGACAGGGGGGTAATCTGAGCTGTGTTCTAAGCACAGAGAGCAATTCTGCTGTGCAAAGCAGAATTTGCCATTGGCATTTCTGTCCATTTCTTAGCAAGAAAAAATCACTTTTGCTGGTACCTTAAGTTGATCGTAAACAGAAGGCTTGGAAATCTGTACTTACTTTTCTGTTTCATCAAATGTTTTACTAGTCCCAGATAGGATTCAAACATTGTAAACCATTTTTATTAACCGTCCCCTGATTTGTTTTGTTTTGGCACCCCTGATGGATGATATCCTTTTAACGATACTGCTGCTGGAAAAGGTGTCTCTATGGCACAAAGTATTGCTGGTGGACTAGAAAAAGGAAAATTTCCATAAACTATCAGCAGCGTCTCCCTCTTTCTGCTAATGGGATAGAGTCGCTGCCTACCCTTTGGGAGCACGAAGGGGCAAGAGGGGCACCATGGCAGCCAGTGGTGGCAGCGGCATGGAGCATGGGCATCAGAGATGGAGATGGAGAACAATGAATAAGGTCAGTATGGCTATGGTAGTGGTAGCAACTGACAATCCGATGTCATCAGATGCAGCGTACTGCTGAGGTACTGGTGTGTTGCTGTGGTACTTCTGTGTTGGCATTAAAGGATAATGAGAGGTGCTATTACTTTATAATGCTGAATTATGCATGGTGATGCTGACTTTCTAGGGCCTAGTTCCAGGTGCAGAATTCACAGAGAAATTTGCACCATAGATTTATTCACTTGTCAGTACAACTTACATAGCATACTGAAAGGATCATTGAACTTGTTTTGTTGAACCAGTGTTAGGAAAGGACATCAAAGGGAACTAAAAAGAGTATTGATTTCCAGTAGTCACCAAGTCCAACAGCCCTGCATGAGTATCATTTAATCTTATGCAGGCATCCTGTTTAAGAAAAATTACTGTCCTAATTAGGTAGAAATCCATACTGTTTGTTATTGTTATGCTGTATTGTTTTTCTGGGACGTGTATAAAACCGTATAGCTGTCTGCATTTTGGTTTTTCCCTAATATTCTCTGAGGTATTACAATTCGTGTACTTATAAGATACTTGGAAGAGTATGCCCCAGATTCTTACAGATAGTGTTTGGGAAAACAAAATGTATTTTGGGGAAGAGGCAAGTCTGAGTTAGAGTTGAAGTGTTACCTACTACATTAAACAGACTAGTAAACTGATAGATAGACCTAGCATTGTCTGTGTTTCTGTATTTAATACAGAAATCCCTAGCTGTTTTGCATTTTGATTTTGGTTAATTCTTCCCTCAATTAAAACACAGTAGGACAAATACCATCCTTTTCTTACCAACCAAATCAATGGCAAAATACTTACCAAGTACCAAGGGAATTACAATGTTTATCAAAAGAAATTATTCAGGACAAATGGTTGTGCTGATATCTTGATTTAAAGATGGTTTTACAGAATCTGTCATCCTCTATAAAGGGAAATGGGAGGCACTAGTGAAAAATGGAGCTTAGAAGGGCTCGAGTCTTCTGAAATAAAATGTGTGTAACATCAGCTTGTGAGAATGACCATGGAAAAAACTTGTTTTCCTTTTCTGACAGTCCAGTTGGTACATGGAGTATATCATCAGATTTGCGGGCTCAACTGCTGACGTTGGTTTTGGTAGCTTAAAATAACAGCAGGCAGATATGCTTAAACCACAGCCTTTTTAGAACGTCTGTAAAACATCAGTCTCGTCTGTTTAATATAGGAGGAATATTAATAAAAAGATCACTGCATAACAATTGATATACAAGTTCCAAACTTGGGTTCCCACTTTTGAATTCTTGTCAGTCTGTTTCATTGGTGTAGAAACAGTAAATAGTTTGTTACTGTTCACATGAGTTAAATTATGAAATTGTGATTTATGGTGAGACCTGAATGAATTTTTTTTGTGGGTCGATTTACTGGAAATGATTTTGGGAGATGAAGCCTCCATAGTGTCACTTAGGCAGATGATTTGGGTCTGTTGGCAGTGAAGACTATGCCATTGCCCTGCAAGACCACAGTTTTCCCCTAGTCCTAGCTCCATTATCCAAGTTAAATTATTTACAGAAACTGGTAATAAATGTAGATTTTGTTGACCCTGCAAAGTTACGCCTGTCTTTCTGAACACATTAGAAATTAGTAAATTTGGTTCTATAACGTTACTGTTAAAGGAACCACCACTGTTTTCCAGTAAAGCAAAAGTTTAAGGAAAAAAGACAGGTTTTTCAAAACATTTAGTGTTCTGCTGCTGTCTCCTCTGAACTTTCATACCTCGTCTCCTCTATCACAAGGTGAAAGAGAGGAATACCTTATTTGGATCTCCAGTGCTTCAGAGGCAGGATTATACCTGCAGGATTTACAAATTTAACAACCAAATCCAAAAGTATGATGTGTGGTCAGTTGTTCTAGCTTTTCTTTTAGGTGGGGTGGTGGTTGTTTTGGGGGTTTTTTTTTGCCTGTGCTGTCTTTTTAACTTTGTGTCTATGACAAAAATTGAGCAAAACCAGCAGCCTGTGCTTTTAAAAGGCGATGACTAAAACCTCATCTGCCACAGAACTCACTTTCCTGCTTGAATGCTTTGCAATACGTGAGTTTCTTGCGGGCCGGGGGGGGAGGGACGGACGATGACAGGAGACAGGACAAGCAAGAAACAGCCTGTACAAAGCCATCTTCTACAATGACTTTGTAATATGTGGTAAAGCCAGCAGGTTATTGTTGTGTGAGTTAAAGATGGTTCCCAAGCTTTCAGCCTAGGTAGATCTGATATATGACCAAACTGCTGGCCTGTCCATAACAGGTATACCTCTGGGCATGCAGCAGGAATGTGAACATACACTCAGGGAAAACTTGCCCACGCTGTCGTGACAGAGGTAGTTGTCCTCCGAGAGGACACCAGGATTTGCCAGCAGCCTTAACCTGCAGGCTGGTGCTTGTGTGCGGGATCAGATGTCTGCCCGTCCATGGTTGGAGGAGTGTATATTTTGCCACCTGGCAAATCTCGCAGCGATGTGAGAGGGACAGTCGGAGGTTCCGCAGGGAAAGAGAGAAGCAGAAGGTAGGCTGCCTCGCACCAGGAGGACTCCTCCTGAGTGCTCTGCGGCCACGTCTGCAGGCCACCATGATGAACATGGCAGCACAAGTGATGCAGATTCACTGATCTGGCAGCTGAATTTATGAGCTGCAGCCTGCGCATCTCTGAACTGTGTGTTGATATTAGTAAAATGCATGTTTCTAAAAGCTACGTATGTTAGAACAAATAGCCAATCTGATTTACAAAGTCTTAAGAAAAGGAAAAATCCATTTCAGCTGTCGGTGACGAGTTCCAGTAGTGAACTCCCCTCACCATTAAGCGTAGCCCCCTCCCCAGCTCTGTTCACTGGCTTCCCCTCTTCTGTCACCGTGAGATGCCTTTATCTGTCTGGTTTTACCTCCAAAGCCCTTCACAGTTCACATTGGTCTCCTATAGCCTAAGCTCACCCTCTTGCCCTGTGTTTTCAAAGCAGCAGCTTCAGGCACTCCTTCTGTGCTTACGTCAGCTAGGGGAACCTCCATCATTTTCAGAATAAATGATTATTCAGTACCGCTCTTTGACCCATTGTCAAAACTCCCTCTCTCCTGCAAAAGCCTTGATGACATTAAGCTTCCAGTGCGCTGAAGCCATCGCCTGTCACGCAACCCCAATCACCTGGGGTTTTTCGTACTGCTGTCAGAATGTCTAAATCTCTCTCTTCTTGTGTACTTCAATGGTACATTTACAAGGGAAGGACCATCCTTTTGCTTTCACTTGTAATAGTTCATGCTACATGGTTAATGACTGGGGTCCCTATGTCCTATGAGACAATGTATTTAATGTGCTAATCTGTTTTTTTTTTTAATAATTCCTTTGTGTGCTGTTCTTCAGAGAGCATCATCAAAGCTTTGTTCCCATGTTAAAGCATGATGAGGTGGTACCTTAACAAGGGTGTTTGCCCAAGTAGGGTAACGCTGGTGGAGTGCTGCATAGATAGAGGAACACTGATTCCAGCACCCACACCTGCCTGTTGAGAGCTGACACAGGTGTCTCTCTGGTGCTACACTGTGCTTTGTAAACACTCCTTGATGTTTAATGCCATGTAGGTCTTCTCAGAAACATTTCAGTTTGTGTACCCCTCCTGAAGATGGATGGATACCAAAATGGAGTACGTGATACTTGTAAGAATTGTGTTCTCTACAGGTACTACGTAATTACAAGCATGTATCTATCTGTTCCTAAGTATTCAAAATGTCTTGCAGCTCTTCTTTGTTTATTAGGATACTGTTTGTTAGTTTAGGCAATGCTGAAATTTGGGGTTTAAGCTGAGTTTAAGCTCCAAAGGCTTGGACTATTGTTCCCAACAGCCACTGCCCCTCAGAGCTGCCAGTCAACTAACCTGAGCTCATCAGGAGTAGGCATCCATACAATTAACAGAGTTTAACAGAGACTGCCAGCTGGCTGTGTTTCCAGAAAGCTTGCAGGTTTTCTGAGTGGAGTTACTTCCCTGAAAAAATGGGAGTATGGAATGCCCCCAATCAAGGATGGGCTGGTGCATGTAGAGGTTGGTACTGCTATGAGGTATTAATGAATTATGGAAAAGCAAGCAGTGGTTGCAGATAAATTAAATATATTGGTACAAGATTGAAGACTGAGCCAGTTGGTTCTGCAACAAAGGATGCTTACAAATACATTTTATTTCATGGTTTTATTCCTGAGTTTACAAAGGCATTACCATAAGTTAAAAATATGCAGATGCTAATCCCATATAAATTCTCTTCAGCAACAAAGATGAGAGTTTGACTTGTTCAGAGGTCTTCCTTTGCCTGCAGGATAGCTGGTTTTATTGATAATTTTTTCCCTGTGTTGTTGCGACATG